ACTGTGGGGGTGTGTGTGATGGGTGCAACAGAAATGCCTGAGCCGGGAGGAGGAGGCTGCCGCATTCACCCCTGTAGTTTTGGGAGGCCACGGGTGCCCTCCCTGCCAAGGGAGACGGTGAGGAGAGCAGGGCTGAAGCCGCGGAGAAGAGGGGAACTGTGCCCGGCCACTTGCCTCGTGCTGGAGGCAGACCAGCTGCGTCCCTCCGAAATCTGTTACCCGAGTGCTGCTTGCATGAGCAGGGCACGTGGTGGCCTTGCTTGCACGAGCAGGGCACGTGCCTGTCTGACTCCACTGAGCCCCCTCCCCGTGCCTCAGTTTCCCCCCTCACATGTACCCATGGAACCATAGGATGGTTTGGATTGGAAGGGACCTTATGGACCATCTTGTTCCAACCCCCTGCTGTGGGTAGGGACCCCTTCCACCAGCCCAGGGTGCTCAGAGCCCCGTCCAACCTGGCCTTGAACACTGCCAGGGAGGGGGCAGTCACAGCTTCTCTGGGCAGCCTGTGCCAGGACCTCACCACCCTCATTGTACAACATTTCCCGATTCTCACCAGTCTAAACCTGCCCTCTGCTCGTTTAAAGCCATTTACCCCCTTCTTGTACTGTCAAGCTTGTTATACTAGCCACCCCGGCACAGGGTGGTGGCACATCCTGGGCTGTGATGTCTTCTTGCCCCAGCCAGGCCAAGGTCCCTTCTCAGCCAAACCGCAGTTCATCCTCTCCTGTTACGGATACGGAGCAAAATATCCCACGAATTCCCTGAGCTCAATTTAGCTGGTGGAGTTATTTTGGGGTTTGCCTATTTGCTAAGCAAACAAGGCGAGCGCAGTCATGCCGCCTGCTCGCCTCTTCCCAACTCTTCCTTCCCAGTCATTTCAAATTGTGTGGCTCAGCGTCTCGCCTCTTCTGACCGGATTTAGCTGGGTCTGAGATAGGCATTTCTACAAATGTCTTTAAATAGAAAGCCTAATTGAGGAGGGAGAAAAATGAGCGCCTTGCTGACAAAGTCCCCTGAGAGCTCAGCATGTATTGGTCCCCAGGGAAGCCCAGTGAAGAGCAGCTGCAGGGAAAGATCTGCTCAGGGTTGTGACTCGTTGGTCAAAGACCTTGAGATCCAAATGCCCAGGTGGCCCTGGATGCTTTGGTGTCCACAGGGCTCCTCGGTTCCTGGGAGATGGGCAGCGAGAGGCCTGAGCTGGAGATGGCAGTGGCTCACTCCAGGAGCAGGGGCTTCTTCGGGACACGTTATGTGATGTTTGCTCGTGAAAAATGCAGGTGTGATAGTGAATGGCTTTGCCTAACCCGGTATTTAATCAGCTTTTTTTTAGGGAAGGTGAAGAGCTGGGTTTTGCCAAACTTTTTCAAAAGTTTGGGGTTTGGGTCTTGTGTGGACCTCAAAGGCGCTGGAGGCTCGGTGGCCCCGTCTGTGACGGTGTCTGCTAACAGAGGATGGGTCTGTGCTTCTCTCTTGCCCCCCAGGTTGGGATTGACTTCACAGCCTCCAACGGGAACCCGCGAGACCCCTCCTCTTTGCACTACATCAACCCCATGGGGACAAACGAGTACTTGTCGGCTATCTGGGCTGTCGGCCAGATCATCCAGGACTACGACTCGTAAGCACTGTTCCCTTCTGCCTCCACCTCTGTTCCGCCGACGCTTACCTGGCTTCCCGAGGGGCTGCTGGGGTGTGTGCGCCTTGATTTCCCATCTGCCAAGCCAGGGCTAAAGAATCCCTTGCTTTTGAAAAGCTCCCTGGGAGAAAATTGCCCATGCAGGAGGAGAGGGTAAGGACAGGGTTTCTCCTCTGCCCCCATCATGGCTGTTGAGAGGAAGGGTGCGTTAGCAGAGGTAGAACATCCCTTCCCGGGGGCAGCTGGCGAGCAGCCACCGGGTGCTTTCTCGACGCAGAGGCAGATGCCCTTGGCTTGCTGGTGTTTGCCGTCGGCAGATGCACCGCCGGGCTGCCTTGTTCCCCATCGCCCTGAGGTGTGCAACACAGAAAATTACCATCTTAGGCATCGACAGAGAAAACAAAACAGAAGTCTGTTGGTCTCACCATGCTGGATTTTGTGACCAAAATGAACAGTTAATTTTTTAAAAATCTCCAGGGTTACACATCTGCAAGAGACTCAGGTGTCTGGGCAAGGGGATGCTCCTGATCCCTGTGGGTGACGAAGCAAAGCTGGACTCCTTTTTCTCTAAAGATCAAAGGCCAGAGGGGAACATCTGTTCTCTCGCTGTTCAGCACTCATGGTTTTTAAAGGCACTGTGTTGTTTTGGGAGAAGGGAAGGCTGGCTCCTTTTTTTAGCTGGCACTTTCACTGTAGCTGGGCGTTGGGCAGCTGGTAGCAGGGGGAGGCCGTAGCAAGAGCTGTGCAAGCCTGCTCCGTGTGTGTAAATACCCCTCATACGTTTTTCTTCTCCTCTTCTAGAGACAAGATGTTTCCTGCTCTGGGATTCGGTGCCCAGCTCCCGCCGGACTGGAAGGTGAAGCGTTGCAGCCATCTGCGTGTTTGAGATGGGTTTGTCCTGATGTTGCCTGGGCAGGAGTGGAGCTGATGGGGCTTCCCAGCTGGCTTGTCTGGGGAGAAGCTGTCGGGGCCGAGGGCGAATGGGCGGATGCGGGGTGTCAGCTGGTGGAGGGTGAGATGTGGCAGTGTGGGTGGGCAGCGAGGCGGGGATGGGGCATGGGCAGCCCATTCCTCGCTCTAAGCTGGCACGAAAGCAGCAGCTCCCTGGCGTTAATGGGCAGAGGCAGGCGTTGATTCATTTTCCTGGCAGGAACAATTCTGGGCAAGGGAAAGGGCCCCTGGATGAATGTGTCAGATGGCAGCGAGGTCTGGAAGGGGGCTGGGAGCTGGGTAGCCTCGGTGCGGTGTTGCACGGGCAGAGCCTGCAAGGACTGGAGCAGAGGAGCTTTCCCCAAAGCCAAGATTTTGGGGATTTCCCCCAAAATCCCTTGATCTCTTGTGAGGATTGGGCACCAAAGGGTTCAAAGGCCCCGTGGTCCTGCAAGGGCATGAGCCGGAGCATCCCACCCGTCGGTGGGCAGGGGTCGGGGCTGCACTGGCTGGTGGGGAGCATCTTCTCCGGGCCAAGAACATGGCCGGGACACCACCGTCTTTCATTACCAGCTGGTCTTCTGGCTGCTCTTTGCTCAACGCCCTTAATGTGCGTTTTCTTTCTGCTCGCTGGTTTTGAGAAGTTCCCAGCTTCGGGCTGGGGTTGAATCTCGGTGAGCCTTTTGTGTTCTTGGGGAGGGGAGCTTTGCCCTGGGCTGAGCACAGCGGGGCATGTAAGTCACGAGTGGCCAGGAATCAGGCCGGGAAGCTCATCGCTGGCATCCCTCGAGGCTGGGGATGTCCTGCCCGCTCTGGCTTTGCGCTTTTCTCCGCTCTCCCAGCAGCCAAAATTCATGTGAACCGAGTGGGAGCTCTCACTGTTTGCCAGGCACAGGAGGAGATCCCTCCGTGTGCTCTTTGGAGCTGATTTATCCTCCTTGGCCGGCAAATGTCTCTGGTCTGTCACTTTACCACTTTCGGTGGGAAAATGTTGGTAGGCAGCTTCCAAGGACGAACAGCCAGCTGCCGTCAGGGATTTATTATAGAGAACTGGGAATGGAAAACGCAGCGGGGATGGAAAGGGTACAGCAGCTCGGGCTGCTGGGGCAATGGGAGCTGATTACAGTGAGCATCCCTCAGCGCCCATGGGAAAGGCATCGCTGGGCGGGAAATGGCCCTTGTTGCAAGGCTGGAGGCGGGTGCTGGGTCGAGGGTGGTGGCTGGGGGCTCGGGGGGCAGAGTCCTTTGCCCACTCTGCAGCTGCTCCTGCAGCCGGCCGCAGAAATATTCCCTGCTGCTCCTGCGAGCCTGGGGATGCTCTGTAAGTGCTACCGGAAAAAACACCTCATTTTCCCCCAGAACGATGTCTAAGCCTGCGTAAACCCTGATGCAGAGCAGCTCTCCCTTCCCAGGTGCGTCTAAAGGTCACCCACCAGCCCTAACACCCGGAATGACCCATTGATGGTCTCACCTTAGGAGCTGGGGCATCTCCCATGCATCGCCCCGCACCGCTCCAGCCTGGGGCTTCATCACGCCCCGACTCGCCCACCCCACAGGGTCTGCGCATCTTTGGCTCGGCTCACTCCTTAAAGGTTTTTTGGCAATCAAGGCTCGCTGGGTAATTTCAAAGCCAAAGCAGCGGTTCTTTGTTGAAACCTG